GTAATGGAAAGACTGGTAAAGTTTGAATAAAATCTGTAGTTTAGATAATAGTGTTATATCAATGCTAATTTCTTTATTTTGTAACATTTTAATAATAGAGGAAGTTACATCAGGGGTATACGGGAACTCTTTGTACTGTCTTTGTGACTTTTCCATAAACTGAAAGACATTTCAAAATCTAACATTGAAAAAGGAATCCATGCCAGCAACATGTTTTCTTGTCAGACATCTGTTATTGGAGGTGGAAATAACACAGGAATGTATTTCAGGGAGTCTAGGACTGTGCTGATCAAACACTCTCAGGGGAGAGGAAGAAAAGGCTAGAAATAGATGGCTGAGGGTAGAGAAACAGTACCACTCTCATTTGCCTTCCATGCTCCTGGTGGTGCTAATGCATCAAGTTGTCCTGGGGCATAGGCAAGGGGAAAATGTTCCTGTACTTTATGAATGGAGAATCCATAGCACAGAACAGCTCAGTGACAAATCATGTTCATTGAATTTATTTTACTTGTCCAAGTTCACTGAGCAGATGCAGAAATGAAATATAAACGGTCTAATTTCCAGGTACATGGTGGCTGAGCAAGAAAGTTCAGCTCATTTACAATATTTTAAAAATACATATTTCGATCCAGATAAGAAACTTTGGTGTTGCAGAATGACAAATGAATTTCAGTGTGCACGACCTTTCTAGATTTGACTATACTTTCCTTCCCTTACAGCCTGTATAACCACTCCAGGTTTAAAGCACTTGCCTTTTCTGGTCTTCCTTTTCTGTTTTCTTTTGTCTTTGGGGTGATTTTCTTTTCTTCCTCTTCTCCATCCATTCTACTTACCAGGTGTTACCTGTGGGTGCATAACAAATTACCATAAAACAATGGGTTAAAACAACAAACATTTATTAACTCATGGTCTCTGTGGATCAGGAATTTAAGAGTGACTTGGCTGGGTGATTCTGGCTCAGGGTCTCTCACGAAGCGCAGTCAGAGTCAGCTGGGGCTGCAGTTATGTGAAGGCTGGACTGGGAATGGATGATCCATTTCCAAAATGACTGACTCACACAGCTATGGACAGGAGGTTTCGGTTCCTCACCATGTGGATCTGTCCGTAGGGTCACTTGAGTATCCTCATGACATGGCTGCTGATTTCCTTCAGAGCAAGTGATCCAAGGAGAGAGGGCAAAGAGGAAGCTGCAATGCCCCTTATCATCTAGTCTTGAAAGTTATACACTCTTTCTGCTGTGTCATTCTATTTGTTAGAAGCAAGTCACTAAGTAAAGCTCACACTTAAGGGGTGGAGGTGGGGGTTAAATTAATCTACATCTCTTGAAGCAAAGAGTGCTGAGAACTGGCGAATATATTTTAACCACCACACCAGGTGTTCTCCTAGCCTCACATGTATCTGGGAATTTCGTCTTCCTCTTTAGGCTTTCTTTTGGCATCTACATTTACTTCTGCAGTTTCATGTGACTCAAAACGAAACCCGATTCTTTTTTTCCTTCCAGAAGACTCCCTTCATCTTTCTTCTAAGTTTTTAAGCCCCATAAAAAGTCACAGAATGTTGAGAAAAGAAAAGGGAACTTGAAATGATCCCAGCATTACAGGATCTGGATAGAGTCATCTGCCTCTTTTTTTGTTGCTGCTGCAGTACTAAAATTTGACATCTCTGATTCTTCTCAAGCAATAGTTGCTGCAATCTTTTGAGCAACTTCTCCGTGGTGCTGTCACAAATCTAATATTGAAATCACCCTTAGTCTTCACTGACTTTTACCACATAATCTTCCTCTCAAAGCCTAACTTCACTTGATTCTCTGTGATTCTTTTACTGTACATTTAAACTATTTGGCGTTCAGGGTTCTAGTCCTGAGTCAGTCCTCTTCACTATTTACTTCTATGCTTTCAGACTTCACCTCTCATTTTCCATTGGCTTTCTTACATTCCCTTGTTCATCTAGCAAACTCAATATGCCTGAAGCCAAATTCAGCCTTTCCCTCCAGAGTGGCTTCCCTTTTGACCTTGCTCATAGCCAGTGGGAAGAGGCTTTGTCTCCACACTCCGTGGTCCCATTGAATCTACCTGTTCTCCTAAATTCTATCAAGTCACTGTTGCCCACCTCATATTAAAGCCCCACAGAAAATCCAATCTTTTGGAAGGATGAAAAAGGTGACTATTGACTGAAATAGAAACAGAAGTGACACGCCTGGCCCAACACATAAGAAAAGATGCTGAGTCATACTCCAATTCTATTCAGAAATTGGACTCCCTGAGGACAGAGATTTTATATTACATTTGTTCCATATCATGTTCACATGTCAGAGTGACATCCCTGCCCCAACACACAAGAAAAGATGCTGAGTCATATTCCAATTCTATTCAGAAATTGGACTCCCTGGGGGCAGAGATTTTATATTACATTTGTTCCATGTCATGTTCACATGTCAAAGGCATCTCATGCTGACCAGTAAATAAAAAGCTAAGCAAATGTCTGAATATGTTTGGTGCTCTGCCAGAAGGTGACACATAATGGTAGGGAGGGAAAGAGTCATTACAGTTAATTAGTTGAAATGACATAGAAAATATCGAGTTAGCTTTTTTTTTTTTTTTTTTTTTGAGACAGAGTCTCACTCTGTCGCCCAGGCTGGAGTGCAGTGGCATGATCTTGGCTCACTGCAAGCTCTGCCTCCCGGGTTCACGCCATTCTCCTGCCTCAGCCTCCCCAGTAGCTGGGACTACAAGTGCCCGCCACCATGCTTGGCTAATTTTTTGTATTTTTAGTAGAGATGGAGTTTCACCGTGTTAGCCAGGATGGTCTAGATCTCCTGACCTCGTGATCTGCCCGCCTCAGCCTCCCAAAGTGCTGGGATTACAGGCGTGAGCCACTGCACCCGGCCAGAATTAGCTTTTTAAAGCATCCTTGATTCCAGAAAATATTTGATGTCAAACCTCAACATACCTTTACTCCTAAAATATCATTAGAAGAATCCATAGTGCTGTGGAACACATAATGCTAACACCAGCTATGAGAAATCAATATCTATCAGCATCCCCTTCACTTACATTGGAAGAAACACTAACCACCCAATTAGATTTAAGTAGTGAGGCTGACTCAGGACACAGGGGTGTCTAAAGAAATAAAGGGAAATAACATCCAGAAGTTATCTTTGTGAACCAAAAATATGCCCTTTAGACCAAACTTCTTAGCAAGAATACAAGATCCATCACAATCTCACCCAAACCTGCTTCTAGCCGCATTTCACGCTGTTCTTTTTCCACCCCTGTCTTCCAATCTGGGTGACCCTCTGGATTTATAGATGTCCCTCTGCTCAATGCCCTGCTCTTTCCTTTATGCCTTGATCCTAGGCGCATACGATTTTCTTCATTCAAAAGACCCTGTCAACACTTAACCTTTAAAGGTATCATCTTTTCTGGAGAAAAGGTAGTTGCTGCACTCCAGAGAGGGGTTGAGGTCTGAAGAGCTGTGAGACTACACATCTTCATGCTATTTTTCTCAGCCTCTTGCTCAGTGCCTGGCAACTGGTAGATGTTTGATAAACTTTTTTCAAGTGAATAGAGGAGTTGCTAATTCACTCGTATGAGTGCTTGCCTATTGATCCGAGGTCAATCACTCTTCTGAACTCATTGGGCTTTTCCAAAGTAAGCCTTTCCCCCTCAATCTAATAATGATAATAATAATAAGTGCTAACATTAATTGAGCACTTACTATGTGGCAAATACTATGCAGTCTTAACATGAATCATTTCATCTAACTTCACAAGTTCTCCTCACTCTGCAGATGAGGAGATGAGCTTAAGACACTAAGTAACTTGCCATGATTATAAATGAGGGAGCCAGGATTGAAGCAGAGCTTGTGTACTGTATCATTAAGCTACATTGCTAGCAACTAATCAACACCACTGGGCTCATGGCTATCGGCTCATGATTGGTGATACTGATCTCTGCCGAGAAGCTCTTCCACCTCTAGCCATGCAGCATCAGTCTCCCTCCTGCTGGCAGAGAGGAGCGCTGGGTCTTTCATATTTACATAGGAAGCATGGCAGCAGCCTCAGTGTTGGAACCTGCCACTGGAAATGTCCATAACAACACACTTGGGGGACTTTCTTTGTGGGCCCTGGCATGGTAAGTGCAAGTTTTGTCATTCCTTATGGGTTCTGAAAAACGAGACTTTACCTGTTAGTGACTGGCTTCACGCCGTGTACCTGGAAGAGCTGGCTTCACATAAGCCATAAAGACGCACTCTAATAATGTATTTAGAAGTCGTTAGCTAAAGGTCTAAGCCTGATTCTAATAGTACTCCCTCAATGAAGCTTTTTCTAGCACTCCTTCAACTACAACTTACTTCTTTTACCACCCCCTCAATTCCTCAGTATTGTATCTATCACTCTTTCATAGTTCTTTATTTTCCACACAGGGCTATAAAGAGGATATTTGCCATAAAACATGGAAACATTCAATTCAAAAATGCAAATAGCTGCATCAAAATGCCAATTCATAAAATTTTTAGATCTGATGAGAAAAGACCCATTTTTCTGCAAAAGACTATTGATCTTTGAGAGTTAAGAATACAGCTGGTTCCCAATGTAATTTCTCCCTGGTAAACAGAATAGGAATGGCTTGGCAAATCTACAGGAAAGAGCATGTGTGCATTGTGCTTCTGGCTTTTCTGGATGTCAGTTGCTGAAGGTTTAAGGTGTGAGTCTGTGCATGTGTTTCTGAGGAGCAGTCCCTGTTCAAAGAGGCAGTGGGAAGACTGAGTGGGATAAGTCACACACGGACACCCTGTGCATCAGTGTGCATTTAATTCAAAGACAGACCTCATTTGATAGCAATATTAACATGTCATTGTAATGAATTAGAGAAAATGAGATGTAAATTCCCATCTGGATTCATGGGGATGGTATCAGAAAGATTTCCAGTGCCTTTGCAGAATGCTAGCAACATTTATTAAATACCTACCCTGGGTGCTATGTGCTTACATGAGAAGCCAAAGGTATCTGTTAAGCTAGGTAGGAACTGCAGTCGGCTGGTTGCTTCTCATCTGGAGAAAGCAGGCAACTGGGCAGTGATTGAAGTGTCCAGCAGGGGGCTGGCATTCTCTGTCTATAAGTAACACTGGTTCCTCTTCAAAGCCTCGGCTCAGCGGAGCTGCCGTTTGCTGGTGAAGCCCGTGACGTGCAAAGCATCCTGCCTATAGGATTTGAGGATTTCTCAGTGCAGTTTTTTTCTACCCACTTTAAACCTCCAGATTCTAAATATCAGGAAAGACGCTGTGGGAAAATAGCAGGCCAAAAGTTCTTAGTAAACTGCAGCCAGGGAGACTCAGACTAGAATGGAGGTAGAAATAACTGACACAGAGTGGGTTTAATTCTAAGCCTTTCTGTGGCTAAGTTTTTGTTGTTGTTAACTTATTGAATTTAGAGTTGTATTGCACCGGTCATGTGAAAGCCAGAGCAGCACCAGTGTCAAAATAGTGACAGAGAGTTTTGAATACCATAGTTAGTATATATGCACTCAGAGTATTTTTATTAAAGAAGACAAAGAGCCCAGCACAGATCTCATCTTCATCTTCACTCGGTTGCAAAATCAATAGTTAAGAAATAGCATCTAAGGGAACTTTCAGGTGGGAAAAAAATCTAGAGATGGCTCTAAATGACTGTTTCCTTCTGAACTTGGAAGTGGACCATTTCGTGCACTGCAACATCTCCAATCACAGTGTGGAACTCCCCGTGAACGACGACTGGTCCCACCCGGGGATCCTCTATGTCATCCCTGCAGTTTATGGGGTTATCATTCTGATAGGCCTCATTGGCAACATCACTTTGATCAAGATCTTCTGTACAGTCAAGTCCATGCGAAACGTTCCAAACCTGTTCATTTCCAGTCTGGCTTTGGGAGACCTGCTCCTCCTAATAACGTGTGCTCCAGTGGATGCCAGCAGGTACCTGGCTGACAGATGGCTATTTGGCAGGATTGGCTGCAAACTGATCCCCTTTATACAGCTTACCTCTGTTGGGGTGTCTGTCTTCACACTCACGGCGCTCTCGGCAGACAGGTAAGTACCGGCTGAAAGTTACATGCTCTCCAAGGGAGGTAGACGCCTGGGTAAACGACCTACCATGTCGGGACAGGGAGCTGATTGCACAAGGGAAGTTTTACTCAAACACGGATTCCCTTCCAGGCAGGTTTTTGTTGTGGGGATGACTTCTGGAGTGTAACATATTGGTTTAAGAAAGAAAAGTAAGTGAATGATGGCGACAGAAGGAGACAGATGAGAAAAATAAAATCTCTAAGCAGAAAACTGAGGTGTCTTTTTCTGGAGACATATCTATTTAGCATTGCCTTTACCTAACTTCTCCCTCCTTGCAAAATTAATTGACCAGTGAGAAAGACAATCACGTCCAACAGAGTTTACACCTCAGGCAAATGTTTTTTCGAAGCAATTCAAACCCCTCAGAGAACAGGAAAGTTCCACTGGATTTCTTCAAAACGTTCTTTCAGAAATAACCAAGAGGAGAAAATAAGCCTCATTTCTCTGAAATTCATTTTCCTCAGACAGTTTAACTTTCCTCACAGCTGGTTTTGTATTTGACTCTCTGTGATAGAACAATTGTGTGCCGTTTTTTCTAAGTCTCTCTTAAATGAAAGCAAGCATTATTTGAGTTCTTAAAATTTTCTGGAGAAAACTCTATTCAAGGTTGATTTCTAATTTTAATATCTTTATTGACAATACTTCCATATACCATGTTTTTGGGGCTTATTGTGGGGAGAAAGAGGGAGTTCACTACAGTTTTTTATTCTGGGAAATATACATATTTGCAAATTGCATTTCTTGTGTGAGCACATTGCATAAAAGTTTACATTTATTCAGTCTTAAAACTTTATGTTCATTCTTTGAACATTTATCAAGTGTCTAGCAGGTAAAAAAACACTTGCCTGAATTAACAAGTCAAGAAATAGCTGCAGATTGTTCACACAAATAACATACTTTGTGCGCTTCTGTGTTCTGGGAATTGGACATAGTAATGAAGAGACTTTCAGACACAGCATAGGCCGTATGGTCAAACCCAGAAAAACTGCTGCAATGAACCTGAGACTATAAATTTTTCACTGATAATCAACTGTATGTTATGTGTTAAAGAGACAGAAGGATTTGAGAGTGTTCCAGAAAAGGCATAGACGCTGCTCTTGAAAGTTTATACTCTGAAGAAAATGTCCCACATGTTAATACATGTGGTGCTGGATTTTCATTTTGTAGAGGAACAAACAGTCCTCAGGTGATCTGGCTTTGTTGAGTAATGGACAAATAAAGATAGCGTTATCAGTATTTATGGACATGTGTTTATGCTTAGCTACCTGAAGCACACTGCCCAGCACACGACATTTTCAACGACTGAAAAGTAATAGCATAGATGTAAGGTTTTCACATTGTACCGACTCGACAGCGTTTCTCCATCCCCTCCATTCCCCTTTGGCTTGCTCCTACCCTGCACATCTGCCCACAGATACCAATGACCACAGACAGTTTCATGTACTGATTCATGGCTGGCAAACTCTGGAGGTGGCAGAAGGGCTGTGGCTTGTTACCAATGGCCGAGGGCTCTTCAGGATGAGGGTAATTTTCTTAATGGGAAGGAGAGATTTTGGTTTCCGGGTTGGGAAGTGCAGTGGTACAGATGGTGTTTACTCTCTTCTTGGAGAGAAAAACAGAAAGGAAAGTGAGGGCATGGAATGTAAAGATGCAGCTGCAGGGAACTCTGGAGTTTCAAAGCAGACCAAGTCCACCATCAACAGAAAGGGAAAGCTCTTTCAAAAGCCGGGTTGCACTCCTTCGCAGCTCCAGTGTGTTCCCAGTAAGTTTGTAGTTACTGCCTGTCTTTGCCAAGTTCAGAAATTACTAGAAGCTCCCATATAGCTAACTTTTGGTGTTTTGCTAAGTCTTTTAAAAGCTGATGGATTGCCTGAATCACAGGCAGTGCATCTAACCAATTCCAACAGAAAGAATAGGTATTGAGCTAAATGATTAAGACTGTACTTTTCTATTCATCTCATTTTTGAAAGCAATGGGATTCTTCTATCTTATATCTCATGAGGTTGGCAGGGTGAATATAAATTCTATATTTTTTCTTCTCAACAAGGTGTAATCTATATACACAGTAAACTGAACAAGTAACAGCTCAACACATTTTTGCATATGTCTATAGAACTGCATAACCAGATGGAGATATAGAACAGTTCCAGCATCCTCCAGAGTTTCTCTTATGCCCTTTCCTAGTTAATACCCCCATACAGAGGCAATCACTATTCTGATTTCAATCACCATAGGTTATTTTTGCCAGTTCTTTAATCTCATATAAATGGAATCATATAGCAAGTACTCCTTTGCATCTATCTTCTTATGCTTATCATTATCTCTGTGATAGTCACCCATATTGATACGTGTAACAGTGGTTTATTCTTTTTCATTGTGTGTGGTGTTCCATTGTATGAATATACTTTGGTTTATTTAGTTGTTCTAATACCGATGGACACTGGGTTGTTTTTTGTTTGGGGGATGGCGATAACCTGCTCTGGACATTCTTATTCTTGTCTTTGGGGGAACATAAGTGTTTATTTCTCTTGGGTATATGTCTGCGAGTGAAACTGCTGGGTTATAGGGGCCTATATTTACTAAATATTGCCAGTTTTCAAGGTGGTAGTCTGTATTAGGTAGATTGGTGAAAGAGTGAATGAACCAGAAGACCCTCCAAACCAGATGGTCACCAGAATCACAGGGGAGCTTTAAAAACATACAGATTCCTAGGCCCTGTCCTAAGTCTACTAAATTCAGGGTTCTGAGGCATGAGTGGAGCACATAGTGATAATCATCCATCCCTGCCCCCTATACGTTGCCCAGCATTGCCAGTCCTCATTCCAGCTTCCTTTCCCCCCATCACTGGGTGAATTCGAGTCTGTCAATATGAAAAGAATATCAAGTTTCTAGAAAAGTTTGTGCTGGCATCACCGGGTAGAAGGGAGACTTCAAGGCAGTCCCAGAAACCAGAATTCTGGGGATTTGCACAGCTGAGCAGTTGCAGGTTTGCATTCAAGCACGTTCAATATTGATCCCCATCCTCCCTCTCCTCCCATGCTTTCTGTCCTTACACACACACTGATATCCTCATACACAGTGGTTGCACTGATGTGTTCCTGGCTTTGTTTCTGGGCTTATGCTGTGTCCCACCCACTCTCCAGCATGCTTTCTCCTTTCCTAAATACAGACTGTATTCCTCATCCCATGTGGCGTATGGGCTAGGAATGGGTATCAACAAACCTGTATTTTAGACATTTTCCTGCCATTACTACCCATATGAGAAAGTGGGACTAAGTCACTTAACTCTCTGACCTGAGTTTAATCATCTATAAAATGATGGAGTTGAGCTAGGCAATTTCTATGGTCCCTTCAAGTTCTAAAATCTTGTGATTTTTTTTTTCTATCTTCTTCTCTATCATTCAGAATCTGATTCAAATCTCCTCCTTAAAACCCTAAGTCGAGCCATTCTAGCTCAAATTTCCTGACCCTCTTGAAATATCAGACTTATTATCTGAGACATGAATTATCTTGTGACACCTTTTATATTGCTGTTTTGAACTGTTTTGTTTGTCTGTTTATTTTAGCCTCTCACATATTCATTGCTTTACATTTTTAGGTAGATTATTAAGAATGTGAGAGGGCAGAGATTTTTAATATATTCTTAAATCTTCCATAGTGCCCCACAAGTTTTCTTGTACCAAATGGGTGATCAATAAATACCGACTAATTAAAATTATGTTTAGTTAATGCATACAATTTTCCTCATTCTTATTCTTCATTCTATTTTGAGGATTAATCTGAAAGCATACTCTTAAACATAATGTACTGGCCGGGTGCAGTGGCTCACGCCTGTAATCCCAGCACTTTGGGTGGCCGAGGTGGGTGGATCACTTGAGGTCAGGAGTTTGAGACCAGCCTGGACAACATGGTGAAACCCTGTCTCTGCTAAAAATACAAAAATTAGCCGGGTGTGGTGGCAGGTGCCTATAATCTCATACTTGGGAGGCTGAGGCAGGAGAATTGCTTGAACCCAGGAGGCAGAAGTTGCAGTGAGCAACCTGGTTGCAGAGCAAGACTCCATCTCAAAATAATAATAATAATGTATCACATAGTCATCTGCTCATCTGTTCTCTATTAAGCTCTCATCTGGGTAGATGAGAGAAAAACTATTTTTTGTGAGTCAGTAAATAGATTCAGGGGATAAATAGATGGGTGGATGGATGGATAGACGGCTGGCTGGCTGGTTGGGTGGGTTACATGTATGAGTGGACAGATGGGTGGATAGATGGATGAATGGTTGGATAGATGGAGATATTTTTTACATATTGGTCCTTCCTATTAGATGTCCACCTTTGTGCTAGGTGCCTCATTATTATGTAAATGAAATTTGAGATCTGAATTGGACCCTCAACAGAAAAAGGGTGAGAGTGGTTTGTGTTTTCTTTTCCAATAAGGTTTAAAGCTGAATTTCATGTTGACAACATATACAATGCCCAACTTATATTAAGCCTGCTTCAGTGCTATTATTCAGTGTTATTTTTACTCGAATGCGGCTGGCAGAATGGATTCTAAGGACAGATGGATATGGCGGTTCCACTGTAACATGATTCTTGTTTGATTCTATGGAAAGACTGGTTATAAGTTTCTTTGTTACTTGGAATGTGGAAAGAAACAGGAAGGTGTGATATTTCTGCAAGCTTCTTGAAGTACAGATTCTTTGAATTTTCTGCAAGGAATGTATGTGATAACATGGTTTGTAGCTTTCCCAACATCTAGAGCTGTATGGTCTAACTTGGTAGCCACTAACCACATGTGGCTATTTCAATTTGCATTTAATTTAAATGAAATGGAAAATTTCATTTCCTCATCACACCAGCCACACATCAAGTGCTCAGTAGCCACATGTGGCTAGTGGCTACTCTGTTGGACAGTGGAGATACAGAACATTTCAGTCATTGCAGAGGGCGCTATTGGACAGTTTA